AGCTCTTCCCTTCAAATGCAACCAAATTTAGGCTATGATTTTACAGGACTAGAAAGTCTGTGCCAAACTCTGTCTGCAAAAGGATAGTGATGAGAATGGCTTCAGGGACTCTGTTATCCAATCAGGGGAAGGAAGGGAGAGGCCCAATCTTTGCCTTAGCTAACTTGAGATGAAATGAGGCTGAAGGAAAAGGGCAAGATTTGCTCAGAGTCCTCCAGTCACAAACTCTGACTTGAACCTTCCAGGGCTTGTTTTACAGGCCAGGAGGAAAAGGTACAGATGTTCAGTTTAAATTAATCCCAGTGTAGCATGGACTATCCTGCAGGAGATGACTATAGATAGGTTTTTAAAGAGAAGGCGAAAGGAAGAAAAGAAAAGACCATCTTTGTAGGTTGGAAAAGCGTTGGGGCATATATGCAAAGTCATTCTAATACCATTCTCCTCCTCCTTCCTCCACCAGCCACTTGCCAAGGTGCTGGATCTTTCCTTCCTTCCTGTGATTAAGCTCACATTTGCTCAGGATGCATTAACTAAGTCCTGATGTCGTTGCATAGCATATCTGGTCTACGTGTAAGCTCAGTGTTCTAGAAGTTAAAAAATAAAAAGCTATGTCTTCAACACCTGCAAATATGGTATGCAAGCTGGAGTGACACCACTTAGAGAAGTTACTAAGTGGATGTGACAGAAAGAGCTACAGAGAGAACACAGGCTGACAGGTGTCACTTAAGTGGAGTTGCCCTGACGACAGCCATTGTCAGGTTGACAGAGACTCTGGCCTCTGGGGCTGGGGTGTCCTTTTTACACTTGAATGTGTGCCTGAGAGTTGAACAACACATGCAGTTTTGCTGGGTTGAGCCTGTCACATCCAGCCACACGCCACATGTCATCACTCCCATTTATTGAGGTCCACAATGAGCCTGGTTTTGGGTTAGGAACTTTGCAGCAGCCCAGAATAGTAGGTTTTACCAGGCCCATCTCTCTTGGCAAATGGGAATTTTGGAGCTCAGAGAGGTTGAGCAACATGTCCAAGATCATAGAGTTAGTTAAATGTCAGAGTCTGGATTTAAGGCCAGGTCTGCGTGGCTCTGAGGTCTGTGCCATTGATGGTGTCAAGGAGACAAGGTTTTGAAGCAGGGTTCCGACCTGCACCTTGCTGTGTGACCTGGACAAGTTCAGTAACCTTTCTGAGCCATCCTTCCCTGATCTGCAAAATGGGGGTAACCATGTAACTAACGCCTGGGGCTGGTGTGGGGATCGGTGGGTGTGCTCCATGGGGAACACACTTAGCACAGCAGCTGGTCCGCAGTGGGTAGGTGGCCAGTGATCACTCTCCTGATGACACCAGGCTCCCTCTCCCTTCTGTGAGGCCCTGCGCGGAAAGAACCACAGCCCAGGAGACAGCTCTCAGACTTGCCTGCAGAGTTTCCATCCCTGGAGAAGGAAGCCCTTCCCTTTGTAAATGACAGCTGTGTGGGAAATAAATGGATACCTGGAAGATCCAAGAAACGGAAACCACTCTTCTCCTGCTGTGTGATTTTAGAATGTCACTTAACCATTACCGTTTTGCTTTTTTTTTTTTCCTGTGGAATAACCTGAATGGTCCTTAACCCCACTTTATTTAGACTTGAAGTTGAGAGCTACGCTGGGATAAACATGGATTTTTGTTTCTCCGTAGGTGAGTTAGCCACAGAATAGATTGTGCCTGGTAAGATGAGGACTCTGGCTGGCTTCCCCAGCAACCTGGCCCCCTGCTTTAGGGACTATGGTCTGTCGCCATCACTGTGTATGTCTGAGCAGCACGTTAATTTGAATATATTTTGTAGTCAAGAATCGACAGGTAGAAACGTTATTTGCATGTAAAATACATAATACATACAATGAGTCAAAGAGCAATTTTTTCCCAATAATCTGCTGATTTGTGTGATTCATGTATTGACATGGATCGTTGAGAGATATGGGGTTATGCTGACTTACAGCCCAGTAGCTTGTAATGCTGAGAAATTCATTGATGTCCCCATCAAGCTCTGCCTCCTGACAAGTGATGAGGAAATCAAGCGATGCCTACCTAGAATGGCTGCTTGGTTACTACTTTTGAGGCTGCTGGAGTCCAATGGGGCTCTTAAAAAATGGCGCCTCTTTTGACCTGTGGAAAAGCCAAACTAGAGCCCAGTGCTGGAGTGAACACAGTAATTAACGTTACCTACAGGCCTCCTTTGTAAACCCCTGACCTGATGGCAGCTGAACTTCCCTTCCCATCAGTTTTACAGTGGGAGGGACAGGGCGTTCTGCTCTTCAGCCTTTGTTTTGGCCATCAGAGTTGAAATTTGGTTTGAGACGCCTCTGACCAGTCTTTGCTATCATTTGGAGGTGGTTAGCATCATAATCCACACCATGAATGAAACGGCAAACAGAAGGAGGATGTAGGGTTTTTCTCAGGCAAATCCCTTAAGGAGGAGGCAACAGGCCCGGAAAGGTTCAGTGACTTTCCTAAGGCCACGCGGCTGCTGAAAGACAGAGCTGGGACTAGTAGTGCACAGGCACGCTGACCCCTGCCGCCACGCTCTTTCTCCTTATTACTCTGTGTCTCTGTCTCCTACGGTTAGATACGGTCTTTTAGGAAGAGCTGAAGAAAAGGAAACTCACCTGTGTTAACAACACTATGTCCCAGGAACTGTGCCAGATGCTTCATCTGCATTGGCTCATTTTATCCTCACAACCCCTTAGCCAGGCAGTGATCACCGTTAAGCTGTTTGTACACAGATGGGGAGGTTAACTTACTGTTCTGTAAGACCACAAAGTTCTTTCTGCTAGGCTCTGTTAAATGCCTCCTTCATCTCACTTACTTCCTCCCTCAGCCTTCCTCACACTTTGAAGCACCCTTTGATAGGCTCCATTGGGAGGTTTTAAATGGCAAGGCTTCCTTGGGTTGAGGGCAATGGGTAGGTCATTTGTTACAGGCAAGTCTGAATACAGAAAATGTTGGTCTGAAAGAGAGTCAAACAAGGCCTTCTGGGAAGTGGGGAGTGTGGTTTTTGAGGGAGTGGACTTCTACTAGGCACTGGTATGGCAGGGGTGGCAGGCTGCTATCAATCCAGGCTCTCCTGTAGGCACAGCCTCTGGAAGGAAAGGAAACAGAGGGTGCATCTCAGGCCTGAGTATCCTTTGTGGTAGTTCTACCCAAGAGACAGGTAACTGATGCCAATTAAGAAAATCTTAAGTGTTTCAGATCACAGTACTTCTTCATCATTCATGTATTGACATTAAATTCATGCATTAAATCCATGCTCTGTTGTCCTGCAATTGGAAGCAATCTGTTCTCCGTAGAGACCTCTAGGAAAGAATGCCCCAGGTCTCAGCATCTCTCGCTAGCCTTTCCCCAGGCATTGGAAGGCTCTTGCTGTAGAAACACATTTAAAACAGGATTACGTCTTTTATTTCATGGATCTTCCTTCTCAAGTGTGTAATCCAGGGCTTTGAATGCAGCAGGTATTTTTGCACTTGATGTAGGGTAGGAAAGGGAAGGAAAATTAGATTTGCCCCTTCCGATTGTTGCAGCTACAGTCTTAGAAATTACAATTTGGTGAGGAACTGGCAATGGATATTAAAGTAATATCACTTCGGGGGAAACTATTATATGAAAATAAAAGCTTCTGTTCATAAGGATATATTTTAAAATCATTTATTAAAATATTGCTTAGAATTTGAAAATTCATCAATAGGTGAATTGTTTGAAAAGTATGGTTTATCCATACAGTGAGATGTTATACGCTTTTAAAAATAACTTGGATCTACATGTAGTAACCTGGAAAGAGGCCCATTATACAGTGTTTAATGAAGAAAGCAAGTTTCTGAGTAATGTATATAACATGATTCCATTTATATACAGCATACACCAACAGCACACACTTTTATATATATATATAACTTAGGTCTTATATATATTTGCATGAGCAAAAAATAGAGAAGAGTACACAGTAAAATGTTAATATTACCTTAAGAGGGTGAAGTTTTAAATGAAAGAAAAATCTAACAAAGTTTAAATTAAAATAAAATCCCCTGAGAAGAAAGGGATCAGAATGGTTACATGGTCCAGAAAGGAAAAGGTGGACTCAATCACAGTTTTGTTTTACCACCTCCACTCATTGTGCATTTTCAGGTTGGGTTGCCCTGACGCACCAGAGATCAGCCCTCTATCCTAAGGCAGATCACAATGTGTTATGCCACAAGTGATATTGGTAAACAGAGTATTTGGAGAGTCAAGGCTATAAAACTTCTCATCTGTGAAAGTTTCCAAGACATACAAGAACTTTGGTATCTTGATAAAAAGAATGTGTCTCCAGCCACACTTGGAATCTACCAGGCTTCTGGTTGAGGCCCTGTAGCCTCCAGGGTCTCCCTGTCCATATCAATAGATACTGCTTGCAGGACCTACCTGACTATAAGCCATTGATTATAGCTATATTTAACCTATGAGAACCAATGCATAAGACCCCCAGTAGTACCTAAATCTATTATAACGCTTAGTATATCACAGTTAGTCATTTAACCAACTCTTCCCAGAAGATAAGGGTCACCAATGCAGAGATAAGTCTCTTCACCTTTTAGTACAGAATACTTAGCACATGCTTGGCCCACAGTCACATAAGGGTAATAGAAAAAAATATGTATTAAGTTATTGCACTGGATAGATTGAATGGCTTCCAGTGGCTTTCAGGGATTCTGGAGAGATTTCCCATAAAAAGGTAAGCCTTCGTGAAAGATTTAAAAAGGAGGAAAGGGGTGGAGTGTACAACCTCCACTCAGTAGCAAAAGCTAATTCTGTTGTGGCAGCACAACAGAATCTTTTGGGTCTTTCTCATCCTTAGAGAAAGGTAGGTAAGAAGAGTGTTCAACTTTTTAGAATAAAACAGCAAGGATTGAGCTATAAATGCAGAAGTATTATACTAAGAAAATGCCTCCCAGATATTGTTAAAACAAATAGTATCACATTCAGCACAAAACCACAGTGAATTGATTTAATCAGACATTATCAGAGCAAGGAAGAAATAACATTCTGGTTCTGGCACACAAAAAAAATCCCACCTCAAATTGCTTTGCAGGTACTGGTGGCACTCAGCAAGTTGTTCTTTGGAATATTGGGCCTTGGGTTAGGGAGGAATAGGACCACAGAGGCTTTTGTGTAGGAGAACGGCCCAGGTGTGGGGCTGCCTGGAGGTTCAGCCAGGTAGCTGGCTGCTGCAGCCTTGGTGTGGCTCCCATCTGGTGTGGAAGACACTAAGAACACTGCTGGGTTAGCTGCCATGAGGTGGTGATGGATCACGGCTGTGGCCTGATTCTTGAGGAGCCATGGATTCACTGCAGTGTGCCGTGGCCATATGTGAACCCTGGCCATGTGTGAGGTCCCCTGGGAGGAGGAGGAGAAAACCACATAATACATCCCCCCTTTTAGCAGCAACCACCATTGGAACAAGCTAGAGCCTGAGATTTCCCAGGCAGCATGGTCCGCAGGTTAGGAATGCTGCTTCCTGATTCTAGGGGCCTTTAATTTTGGGCAACAGCAAAAGGAAGGGTTGGTTGGTCCCTAGAGATGAAGTATGGTACAATCTTCACCTTCTGGGGTTCCAGCAAGGGCTCAGAGTTGGCAAGAGACAGAAAAGCAGAGTCCCAACACAAGGCAGGTGGAAATTCAGAGGGCTTGCTCAACCTTCTGGTTCTGGTGTTTGTGGGGCCTCTACATCATCTATGCCCACAATTAATCTGAGCCTTTCCAGTAATAGGAAACTCACTTCTGCAGCATCTCACAAAGCTGGATAACCTTTCTAATTGTAACCCTCCCCAAGAGTCTCATCTCAACCACCAACACAGCTTTCCTCCAGTCCAGGGCTCTGAAGAACCTCTGAGTTAGAGATAGACCTCTTTACAGTGTGGGGTTCTTGTTTTGGATCTTCTGTAACTTAGAGATCTTCTTCCTCTGTAGGTCTTTTTGTCAACAGATGTTCTTGTCCAGTTGTCCTCCAATCATCACTGTCCCTTAGAATTAGAGACTTAAAGAATCCTGATGCCCAAACCTCACTAAATCATACTCTCTGGGGGTAGAACCAAAGCACTGGTATTTTTAAAGCTCTCCAGATGATTCCACTGTATAGCCAAGGTTGAGAACCACTGTCTTGCTCCCTGAACCTGGTCAACTTCTTGGGGTTTATGCTATGGAATCAAGAATCCTAGATTTGAATCTTGCCTCTACCACTTGGGCAATTTCTTGTGTTTTTGTTTTCTCATCTGTTATATGGGGATAATAGTATCTACCTCAAAGAGCTGTTGAACCAGCTACATGAGAATACATGTAGGTCAAGAATAGTCTCTGGCATATAGTAAGTGTTCTATAAAATTTAGTAAGTGTTATATAAAATTTAACTCATGTGCCTAGGACAGGGCCTAGCGAATGTTGACATAATATTTGTGCACTTGCCATAAGATAGGCATTGTTCTATGCACTTTATTTTTGTTGCGTTGAAGATCTCGTATAAGAAAAATTACGTAAATAAAATGCGTCTTCAGAACCTCTTTACCTGATAGGGTCTATTGTTTCAAACTACCCGTTTAACTCATACCCTAGTGAACTCTCTGAACCCCTTATCATCCCACGTGTTTTCTTGCCTCCCATGAAAATCTCCTTAAGAGTTCTACAGAAGATGTGTACCCTTAAAAGTATCCAACATGACTAAATTAAGAGCTCATCAATGGTCAATTCAATATGTTTTGTTGCCTCTCGTTAAGTCTAGTGCCTATTAATGAGCTAGGCATTTAAGAGATGCCTAGTAAATTGTTTGTGGCATGACTAAACTAATGAACCTGGTAAAAGACTACGCTAATGTATTTTTGCAGAAGAGATGGAGAAAGACTGAATTCACATGAATGGTGGGGATGCTGAGAAAAGGGTTCTACAAAGTACCTACTCTGTGCTGGGAACTTTTCAGCATCATAAAAAGTGAAGGTTCAGGTCATCTCTTGGTGTATTACAAATCACCCCAAACTTAGTCTCTTAAAGTGATAATTAGCTTGCTTGTGACTTTGTTCTTAGGTGATTACATAGCAGGAACAGCACCTCTTTGTTCTAAGACAGCTCGCCAGGGGGCTAGAGTATCCACTTTCAAAACAGTTCCTTCCTGGACTCCAGCCTTTATGGAACCACCCTAGTGGCATAGGCTCCTCACTCCCAGTCCCAGGCTGGCTCTGGGTTGGATGGGTTGGGATAGAAAACTCTTGCCATGAGAATATAGCTCTTCATCTTAGCCTCTCCACTCCCCATTCCAAAGGGAGACGTGTCTGTGCTTGGGGAGAAGCCAAGCAAAGCAAAAGATTTCAACAGCGAAAGGAGGAAACACACCCACTGAGGTTCTCATAGCAACATAATCACGCACAGGCAGCAGCCTATTCCGGTGGGAGCTTGTTTCAGCTCCCCTCCTCCCTGGTTAGTCACAGAAGGGATGCACAAGCAGAAGCAGTGCCGGGTGGGGGCAGAGTGTCGGACTGAAAGTCAGGAGGCTGGGGAGCTGGGTCCTCGGCTTGCTGATGGACCATGGACAAATGTCCTCCTCTGTCCAATCTTGGGGTCCTTATTTGTAAAATGAGAGGATTGGACCACAGAGCGGTGAGAATCGTTTCTTTTCTGATTTCCTTTGATTGCACAAACACCGAGACACTTTTGGTAGGGGATTAGATGTCTCTCAGAATCTTTTGTCTCTGAGAAGATGCCTAGAGAGAAAGGAATTCAAGAGGGTAAAAGTCATCCTCCAGATTCACATCATTTATTTCCCTACCACTCTCTGCACGTTGGCAGGATGTGAACGGGAAGAACGACTGGGTGTTGTCAAGAACTCTGTGCACTCACCCCCAGCTCTAACCCAGGTCTGTGTTCTGAGAAGGGAAAAGGTTAAGGAGGTTAAGGCCATATTTTTATTCAAGTTCTCACACACACACATGCACACACACACAGTCTCATTAACTCGAGCCTCTTGCTACATTTTCATCCTTCTCGTTCTTCATCCTCTCCTCTATCCCTCACTTCTCACCTCTACTTAGTGCAATGTATCCTCTCTTTCCCCGAGGACCAGATGATGGAGGCATATTTCGTACTGAGAAAGATTCTAGCCCTTTTCTTCAATGGACTCTGGGGTTAGTTGAGGACAGTCAGGCTCACACTTCCCAGTTATCAAAGGTGATGATAAAAGCAAATAGGGCATTTGGGAGGGACCTCCCCAAACAAGTACAGAGATGACGTGAAGACAGCCGGGTGCTCAGGCAGCATCTTTTAGGTCTCAGTCCCTGACTTGTAGGCTGAAAGCTTAAAAGTGCAGCTGCTTTAAGGAGTCAGCCTGAGTGTCCTGCTGCAAAGGGAGAGGCAGAGTGGGGTCCCCCGCTTTTGTTCTATCTCCCACTGCCCGACAGATGGCCAGTAAGACAGAGAAAAAGCAGCTCTCAAAGTGAAGACAGGAATGCATTGTATAAAAATTCACACCCCCTGCTGCCGCCTAAACTCCCTTAAAAAAGGATCAAGAGAATCCTGATGGGTGCGTGACATCCTCCCTCTCTCCCATAAAAGGGACTTCAAAATCTGGCGATGGTGGGGGAAGGGTGAGGAGGGAGAAGAGAAATGCGTGGGCAGGGGGCTGCCAGGGAAGACTGGAGTTGGGGGGGCGGCGGGCACTGCAGTCTCGCATTTGACTTTCTCCCACCCTCTTTCCCAAGCCACCCTGGCCGCCACCTTTGCCCCTGCCTCTCAACCTGAAAGGGGCTTGGAGTCCCAAGGGCTTTGGGTACAGAGAATGGGAGAGAAGGATAAAGAATGACACCACACTTACCCCTAGAGTTGAAGGAGTTAAGGACCCTCCCCCATCCAGACACCCACCCTTTCATTCCCCAAACCATAATTCGCCAAGGAAGGATCCAGGAACTGGCAGAGGAGCGGGAGAGCTGGGGTGGGACGGGGTGGGGAGGGTGCGAGTTAACTGTGGCCCGGTCTCGCCCGGAGCTCGCCCTAGGTGGGAGCACGCGCACCGGGTCTGAGAACCTGCAAGAGCCTTGCCCGGCGCCTGCTTTCTCTGGGCCCCCAGCGCGGGCCTGGTCTCCGCGCAAGTTGTGCGCAGCGCCAGGGAGTGGAGGCGGCCAAGACCCTCGGAGACTAGGGGAGGGGGCGGGCCCGGGGGCGCTGGGGGCCCTCGGTCTGCGCCCAGCCGCCGCCTGCTCCACCGAACCTCCTACCCCGCCCCCACTCACCCGGCTCAGCCCCTAGGAGAGACGCGCAGGAAGCGTGTTGCTTCGCCCAGCGGATCGGCAGAAGTTGAGAGGAGTTGGCGGCTGCCTCTGGCCGGCCGGACTTTGCGAGCAGCCTGGAGAGGATCCGCGACCGCCGCCGCGGAGCCTTCAGGGCGGCTTCCCTCGCGCTTAGCCCGCAGCGCGGGTGGAGAGGGGCGGGGAGGGGGGTCGGGGGCACGAGAAGAACTTGAAACTGTGTGAAGGAATCCGGAGCAGATGAGAAAGGAGGAAAATAAAACAAAGTGGAGACTGCAGAACAGACTCCACTGTGGCTGACTGTGCCGGCTGACGCTCCAGCAGAGGGGCTGGGTTGGAATTTTTTCTCCCATTCTCTCGCTCTCTCTTTTAAAGCTACACCAGCTCTCTCTCTTTCTCTACTATCTCTGTATCACCAAATCCTTGCTGGCTCTTATGGGCATGAAACACTCCTCCCGCTGCCTGCTCCTAAGGAGGAAAATGGCGGAGAACGCGGCCGAGAACACCGAGGTAAGGAGGCGAGCGAGCAGGGGCTCTCGGAGACCCCGCCGCCCACCCGGACCACCGCGCCGCCGCCGCCGCCGCTCAGCACCGAGTGCCAAACTTTCCCCAGCTTCATCCCGCTTGCTTCTGCCGGCCTCCGTGTGTGTGTGTGTGCGTGTGTGTGTGTGTGCGTGTGTGTGTGTGCGTGTGTGTGCGTGTGTGTGTGTGTGTGTGTGTGTGTGTGTGTTGGTGGGGGGTGGGGGGGAAGTTCATGTCTCAGGTCCCCTCCCTCTTGAAAATGCAAAACAGTCACTCTCACCCCATCACCCTCTCCTGCCGCCCGCTGCTCCCTTCTCCTGCCCCCAAGTCCCAAACCCTGGGCAGCCGCGCTCCCCTGCCCTCTCCTTTGGGCTCCGTGAGGGCTCCCGGGTCCCGGCTTTGTGCAGAGCTGGGGTGGGTAATCCTGGGGCCAGGTCTGCTCCCTGCAGTGTCTTGACCATCTCCTGCCGCTGCCTCAGCTTTACCCTTCAAGCTCGAGTCGGTCCCCGAGCTCTCCGTCCCCGCAGCAGCGCGGAGAGCTCCCGGCCGCGGGGGCCGAGCCGGCGGGAGGGCTTGAGCACCTCCTACAGACCCTCCGGCCCAGATCTGGGCCAGAGAGAAGTCTGCAATCGTCAGATGTCAGAGCCGCCTCTGGGGCGCTTAACCAGGCAGGGCACACGGGCCGCGGCCACCTTCAGCACCAGGGACAGCGTCCGCCCCTGCTGCAGCCGAGCCTGCGCGGACTGTGGGGGCTGCGCGCCGCCGGCTGCAGTGAGAAACGGGTCTGCAGCCGCCCGTCCCGCAAGGGCTTTTGAGGAGGTCGCTGTAGCTCCGCAAATTGCGTTCTTGGCCCCCGCCTTCGGCGGCCTTTTTCTCTACTCTCCAGCTGGCCCTGAGCCGCAGAGAGCCCTGCTGAGCTTTGTGTCCCAAGACTCGAGGCTGTGATCCCTCGCCTCGCCCTGACCCCGCTGTCATTACAACAACCGGACTATTCTGTAGGCTCTGGGCACCTGTAGTCACGAAGGGGATCAGCGTGGGCAGGCCCCTTACCTTCCTGGAGAAACGGTGCGCCGAGGTGGGGGCGGAGTGGGGCATGTGTGTGAAGATCATCCCTTACTCAGTGGCAGGAAAAAGACACAGAGAGCAAACTCCCGGGCTCTATTAATAGCTGGGTGTCTGGTGGGGCTGCCGCACATTTCACATATGGTTACCCATATGCAGCGGGGGGCGGGGACGGGGGTGTGGCGCGGGGATTGTCCCTCTGTCTTGCCGGAATGCAAAAAGGTAGAGAGACCCTTCCTGGTCTTCTTCCCTTGAGGTCTTAACTCTGCTGCTAAAACCCCTGCCCCACCGCGTAGGCAGCAACGCTTTATCAATCCCCATCCTCGGAGAGACTAGAAGCAGCATGCATCTGGCAACTGTCGATTTCAAAACAAACACGCTCCGGGACTTGAAAGCAGTGGGGCATTCAGTAGCGAGTGCTGTCTCCTTGAGTTAGGGCAAAGCCTGCATGCCTGCCGTCCCCTCACCACTTCCTCTTCCCCAGCCCCCACCTGAGAGCAGACGTTCGGAATGATGTGCAGTGCGAGGCGGCTAGCCTCCCAGAAGAAAGCCATCCTTACCAGTCCCCTCACCCTCCGCGCTCTGATCGCCCACCCGCCGAAAGGGTTTCTAAAAATAGCCCAGGGTTTCAAGGCCGCGCTTCTGTGAAATGTGGAGCGAGCGGGCACGTAGCGGTCTCTGCCAGGTGGCTGGAGCCCTGGAAGCGAGAAGGCGCTCCCTCCCTGCATTTCCACCTCACCCCACGCCCGGCTCATTTTTCTAAAAAAAAAAAGTTTTGGCTGGCCCCTTTGCCTCGTACCCCCGCTGCCGCTTGGGGTCTGGGTGCAGACCCCTGCCAGGTTCCGCAGTGTGCAGCGGCGGCTGCTGCGCTCTCCCAACCTCGGCGAGGGTTAAAGGCGTCCGGAGCAGGCAGAGCGCCGCGCGCCAGGCTATTTTTACTTGCTTCCCCCGCCGCTCCGCGCTCCCCCTTCTCAGCAGTTGCACATGCCAGCTCTGCTCAAGGCATCAATGAAAACAGCAGTAGGGGCGGCCGGGCTCCTGCGAACAACAACAAAACAAACAAACAAAAAACCACGTCGCGTGCGGGCCACCAAGGCAGTGCGGGGAGGGACGCACCCAGCTGGGGCTCCTTGGAGGGGTGTGAGCCAGGTTGGCGGATCAGTTCTTAGCAACTTCCCTGCAGAAGGGGTAGAACCCAGACTTGGTCAAACGTGCCTAGCGGAGGCATCCAGGCAGCGTGACAATCGCTTGGTTTCCCTCCAGGAACTGGCTGTTTTTGGAATAAGCCAGGACTAGAGCAGCACTTCCAAAAGTGGGGTGTTGTGGGCTTGCCTGCATTTATGGTGGATGAGAGCGGCAGGAGCACGCCTCCATGTGTGTCAGTGGGTGGTGCGGAGCGTGGTAGTGGTCCTAGTTCTGAATTGCACGTCTCTTTATCAAGCGCCGGCTCTGTACCAGGAAAGCTAGGTACCCATGAGGACCACCTGGTCCCTGCTCTGGGGGGGGCTCACACTCTCATGGACAACTATGATGGATAATCCTGTAGCCACCTTTTCCTTTTTGTTGTTTATCTCATTCCATCCTCACAACAATCCTGCGAGATAAGCAAAGATTAGTATTCATTTCTTATCCCCATTTTATAGTTGAGGACACCGAGGCTGAGGTCAAGCAGTAGCTGAAAGTCATCTGGTGGGTTAAGTCAGCCCTGAAACACAGATTGCCCCCACTTCTGATTCATTGCTGTTTGCCCTACCCTTGCTATTTCTAACAAGATGCCATGTGTGAATGGGAGTAGATGAGGAGTGGGCGGAGAGGAATACTTTGGAAGGGAGAGATGCAGTGATGGGGGTGGGCACGGATGGGAGGAGGTATTCGTTCACAAGGTAAAGATGCAGAGAGATACTCCAACCATTGGGCAGGAAGGGAGCAAGTGAAGAATAAAACTACTTACATTGTGACCAGAGCCTCCCTCCACAAAGTGAAGTAGCCAGCTAGGGCATGAGAGCATCAACTTCACATGCTTGCTGGGCACTATTGGCAATGGGTGGCCCGGGAGGCACTCTTCAACCACTCTGACCTCAGTTCCCTTCTCTGTTAACCTGAGCTGATTCTCCTCATGGAATAGGGCAGGTATGGGTGTAAGGAAATGCCAGGAGAGCCCCCGGCACATGACAAACATGCAGTAGTGTTAATTGCATGTATACTTTCTCCTGATCACTCAGCTATGCTTCTCTTCCTCAGCTAAGGGAATCACCATTCTCCTGCCAGCCTCTTCTCCTTCTCCCCTGTTCCTTGGGTGTCATCAGAAACCTCCTCTGTGGCCTTCTGGAATATTTGCAAAGCCTCCAGTCCCACTCTCCTCTTCAGCCCATTGTCAGTGCCCAAGACAGGTCATCTCACCTCTGCCCTCACTAAGGCACTTGCCTCTGAACTGCTGGTCCTCTTCTCAAATCCAGCCTCATAATCCTACCGTACTGGATCAGCTTTTGGAAGCACAAATCTGCTCATGATCAGGCAGCTCTTTAAAAGCTTAGGAAGTTGTCCTATTGCCTACAGGACACTGAATAAAGCCCAGTTTCCTTAGCATGGTGCGCATAGCCCATTAATACCTGCATCATGCAAATCTCGGAAAAGACCTCTGACTGCATACCTGAATGCTTTTGTGCATGCTTTTCCCTCTGCCTGTGCCACTCTTTCCCTCTTCTCTCTGGAAAATAATCTTTTTCAACCTGCAAGACCCAGCTCAAATGTTACCTCCTCTGGGCAGGCTTCCCAGATCTGCCATTTATCCTGTCTCCCCAGGGAGGGTGATTACTCTTTCTTATGTGTTCCTAACGCCTGTCTCTCACTTTTCCTATTGCAAGATAATTGGCTTTTTGTGTGTCTATTTATATGTCTATTAGATAATGCACTTTTTTTTTTTTTTGAATATCCTGTTCTTAGTACTGGGCCTCACATACAATAAGTAATAAATGTTAATAAATGTTGACTGAATTGATGTTTGTGATTGTAAACAAACTCTTGAGGCTTCTGGGCTTTAGTCACTCATGGCTTTCTGGAAATTGGGATTCCTATCTCCCACCACCCCACCCGTCTGCTGTACTTGTGTTGCTGTGGACTTTTGAAACTCAAAATGGGTAAATATTCTGGGAATCAAGGTGCTGAAGCCAGTCAAATCACGGGTACATTTTGGTTATTCATGTACCTATTCAATATTCAGTAATGATTGACTCTTACTATGGAGTAGTCATCTGAATAGCAGATAAATGGATTAATCACAATTCCTAACTATGAACCATGGGGGATAATGGACCCTCCTGAGCTACTGCTTGCTTTACTGATTCTTGGTGAAAGTCTGATGCATGATGCATTATTTATGGTGATGACTCCCTGATTAGGGTTTTATCATCTCAAAGAAGAGCCCCCAGGAGTCAGGAAACAGTTTTAGCAAAGAGTCACTTTGGAGACTGTTTTTTTTTTTTTTTTTTTTTTTTTTTTTTAATGTTCTGTTGACTTGCTGGCCCAGGGAGAGGGAATAATTACAGGTTGGAAAAAATCCTACAATGTGACAGTGAGATTAGGGGTTGCAGTGAGTTATGGGGATAACTGAGCTGACTTCTGGCATGGTGTATCTTGGTGGTTTTGGCTAATAGATCTTTCTCCTCAGGAAGTTGCTTTCAGCTGAAGAACGTGGTCCCATTATTACAGGGGTCGGGGAATTGAGGAAGAGGAAGAATCAGGCCCAGTTCTTTGAGGATGGTCTTCATCTATGTCTGTTTCTGCAGAGTGTGTACACTAACTAGTAGACTATGGAGACAGACTTCCTGGTTTTCAATCCAGCTCTGGACCTAGTAGATGTGTTGCTACACTGAGGAAGTTGCTTATCGTCTCTGGGCCTTTTAAGACTGCTGTGATGATGAAAAGGG